TGACAACATGTCATAAGCAGAGGGAGAGTCATTGGTTACCACACAGTTCACTTTTGAAAGTATGTTTAATTTTGGATGTTTATTTTTTTTAATGTACATAAAGAAATGACACATGCAGCATAAGATATTCTAAGTATCATCTTGACTATATTTCTGTGTACATACCAGCTTTTTTTCATGCTCTCCAATAGACTTTTTCAGTTATATTTTTATCTCCAAAACAAGTGATCATCATTTTCATGCCTTGACACCCTGTTGATACACTACGTGGAAATGTTCTCAATGTTCTGTGAATTTGGAGCAAAACTTGTACTGGAGGGCTCTGTTTGTTTTGTGGTTGTTTTTATTTTTTAAAATTTAAAAGGAAGGAACAGATGTATTAACTTACACGGAACAAATTAGGACACGGGGATTACATACACAAGAGCAGTTAGGAAGGCTGTGGCAAAGTTAGCAGATATTTTAGTTTTAAGAGATACATTCAATTCAGAGCAATTATTGACAACTGAGATGAGTCCTAACATTCTGTATTATTAGTCCTGTCTTAAATACAGGAAAAAAAATTGCTAAGAACAGAAAAATACCATTCATGCTTTACAATATGGGGTACCAAGTGATGATGTAAAGTCACTATCTAAACTATGCATCAAAAAACTGACACTGAGTACCTCCTTTTCTGGGGACTCCACAACTGTCCATTACCAAAATCAGGCCTTAGATTCAACGGATCTGTGTAACTTAGTGAATTGAGGCATGGGACTAAATGTTTAACACAAAGCTATTTTCTCCTTACTAAAGCATAACACTGAAATGTCAAAAACAACTTTTACAAAACGAGCACAAGATACAAAAGGTTGGTAATGCCTTCTAAGCAGACAGCTAGTATTTGTGATAATCTGACAGCATATTGCCAGTCTTTAAAATGATCACTCAAATGATTACAAATTAAGATATACTAGCTGCGACTTCTCTACTTTTTATTGTAAGTAAAACCCCGATGTTCAAAAATAATGCATACGTAAATCCCAAAACCAGACAAAATCCAGAGGGAAGTATGCAAGTCAGACCGCATATACAGCCAGTGCAAGTAATGGACTTCATTTTTTTCATAACACAAACTCAGTATATTGAGATGGGACAGAGAGAGTCCAAGTGTTGATATCAGAATTAGATTATACCCAAAATTAGTTGACTGTTTTGTAACTACAGTTAATTTAAAACAATAATTTGAAACTAATTTATTAAACTGTCCTTTAAAATATTTGTCTCTGTTACCAACAAGAATGTTTTTTTTTGTTGTTGCTGTTGTAACACAGATCCTGAAAGACTGCACTATGGTAGCCATGGCAAAAACTGGTCTGAAACACTCAAGTCTACTGAAGTCAGTACATAAGACATCTTACGAACCCTTAAGGCAGACACAAAGCAGACGTGCAAGAAGGTATTATGTGTTAATCATGACTGTGCTGGGAATTTACTGAATCAGATTTTAAAACAAGGATGTACTGAGTGTATTTAATCAAATTTTAACTGCAACAAAGCAAAGACGAAATGAAATGGATTCTAGAAATTTACTGAGACAGAATCCTCTAAATTAAAGGACATAATCATATATCATAAAGGAAAATTTAAAATATGAATAACAATGTTGAAGCAAGTTATAAGAAAGGTGTGAGAGTATGTATTATTAAAGTACACCTACCCACCATAGTATCTTTCACTATCTCTCCAGTTCACAAGTTCCAGCTTCCCTTGCAGCAAGCTGTGTAAATAGCAGAGATACTGGATATTTGTACTGCTTCCCTTTCAAACACTTTGCCTTGTTTGGCTTGGCAAAAGAGTAACTATTCTTAAATGCACCATTTCACTGGCTAGTGCAGAGTTCATACACTAATGCACTGCACAGCAGCAGGCAGTATGTTAAGCAGTATCAAGTTTCTAACTAAGGTGCACAAAAGTGCTTCATACATCACTGTACATCTCATCCTTGGCAAGTCTTTCACAGGCCAAAAAAAAAAAAAGGCTTTATCTGCCAGCAACAAAGATGAATTTAGGAAGGTCTTGGAGACATCCTCTCCTCCTTATTTTACTTCAGCATTGCACAGTAATGTAAGATCTTGTGCACATACCACTCCCTTCTTAGCTGTTTCCATACACTGCCAAGTATTTCTAAACTTGGCTGAACCTTCCTCCTCCTCTCCACTGCAAGAGGATATGCTTTCACATATGCTATCTCCTACTAGTAAAGCCCAGCACTACTGCTGCTCCAGCAGCCCCTGAAGGTAACAGGCACTAGCATCTGTACAAAACAGAAGGATGCAGGTGTAAAGCACTTTTAAAATCTGATGGTGTGGAGGCTTGTACTGGAGACAGACTTGAATGCCAACTATGCCTAAAAGAAGGCACAGACCATCACACTCTTCTCTAAGGAGCTGATCAGATTTCAGTGAACTAATTCCAAGCAAAAAGAATTAAGCAATACTTTCACAGCAACAACCAAGCTTTTTGTAGTCAGGTCTCCAGCCACAGAGACACAAGATTTCTCAGGGAAACTCTTTCAAGCCAAATTAATTCCAGCCTACACAATCACCAACTACATACATACTGAGAGAGAGAGAATACAACACAAAATGTCAGCTGCTCTGTTGTATCCTACATTGCTTCTCTTCACATTTAAACCTCTGTCTGCCCCCCAAAAGCATTCACTCACCCATACAATTCACAACTATGTATATCATTCTGAAATCAGTGTTAGCAAGAGTGACTGATCTCATCTGTGTCACTGGTTTTTCCTCTCATAATACTAACAATTTCCAACTCTCCCATTTTTAACATCCAGGAGACTGTGGGGCTTGAGTCTATGTGCTAATAAAAACTATATTTATTATCCGTCAACAAGCAATGCCAAGTAGGAAGCAATGAAAAAAAAATATAAAGGTTAATGCATAGTGAACTTCACCTTCAGATGTCTGTTTTTCATGCGTATAGAAACAACATACATATACATTGGAGCAAAGTCTAAAATAATAATAAAAAGAAAAAAGCCACAGCTATCTTTCTATAAGAATAAATATAAAAATAAAATAGGTAGTTTATTTGTAAGGTGGCCAAAGTATTCAAACAGGAGAGAATAATAATAAGAACCCTAACAGAACTAAGCATAAGGATTTCACGTACTTTTATCTAGGAGTCAGACTGTAACTAAGTGACCTTCTATTAAACATATGACATTTTGTAATGCAGCTTCAATGTGACATACTTAGGTTTTGATTTGATGTACAAACTCAAATACTCCAGAATTGTCAAGATCGCTCGAAAGAACGTTCCAAAATTAGTAAGGTTGTATCTTTTGATTGAGGAAAAACATTGCCTTTGATCAAATACATTATTTATTATATGGAAACTTACAAAATAACATTTTTCAACACTTTTCCCTATACTGTTATTACTAATTTTAATCTAGGCATTGGTATTAACTTATTATCCAGGCAACAGTTTCAATAACATTAGCTAACAGAAGTCAGAAGTTGATCTCGCTAATTATTAAATGTTCACTTGGAAGGGTAGTACATAAGACCACAGCCAAATTTTTGGAGTGCCCTTGTTGTGACGGTTTACATAAGAAAGGATAATAACTTTTAAAGCAGCTTCTTTTGTTGTTGTTTTTCGTTATTAACTGCTATAGCTGCATATTTTGTAAGATATTCCAGTTTTAAGTCATGTTAACACCAGTCTGATTAAAAACAAAACAGACCAGAATACACTCCAACCTAATTCACTTTTTTATCAAGGCTGGTGGAATTGAGGAAGCAGGGTTTGACATCTATTTTTGTTTCACACAGATAATCAAGTTCTTTATACCCTCTTTCTGCCTCACACACTCATACACCTCATTTGACAAAAGCACAGAAAAAAACAAACAAACAAACAAAAAAAACAGTTCCCTCATCCTTTAAAATCCTCATTATGATTTCATCTCAAATGCATGAATCAAAAGTAAAGTGTAATAACACAGGAATTACTGTTCACTGAAAATAGGCATCTTTAAAAAGAAAAGAAAAAAAAAAAACAAAACACAAGAATTCTTCCAACTGGCTTCCTTATTGTCAGCACTGTGTAACTCCAGTTTATCCAGCAGTGTAAATTTTCATATTTCACAAGGCAAGAGGTGAGAATGAGCGCCTCAATGAAAACTATTGCTAAAGAATGTGCAATGCTACTAGGAGACATCAGTCCACACTACTCAAATCTACAACAAACCAAATAACATCAGAATTATTCTGTTGCTGTAGGTGACATTTAATAGGGTAAGTCACTGAACCAAATTTGGGGCCTCCTGCAGATGCTGGTGAACAACACGATGCAAGGAGACGATTACTAATCTTACCAAGCAGACCAATTTCAAATATGTCACTATATTCTGTATGTCAGTATTTTTATTTAATTTCATTTCAGTAATAATGTGCTTCAACAGAAGTGGCTGTATTTATTTTTCTATGTGACATCAGGATTCACTGGCAATTTCACATGAATTTCTTCACGGGTAAACATTTGAAATAATGAATAAATTCAAGGTACTGCAAAGAGGTTCTCCATCATATTCTCCACTGTTGCTGCAAAGTTTTTTCTTTTCTTTTTAAAGTAGCATATCTACAATAAAATGTTGTCAGAAAGCACTGAAGTGCAGTCAAGAAAACTTCCTACCTTAAAGCCATACAAACTACTGATATTTTTCAGTTTAAATCAACAAGTTAAATACAGAGAAATATACATAATGCCTGTGTTCTACAGCATTTACAATTCTTCCCTGACAAATTTGTATATACATAGAGAACTGTATTCTTGGCCCACTCCAAAAGTAACAGATCCAAAAACAGCACATCCATGAACATGAAAATGCTTACAATGAGAAGTAATACTTTTTCCACGCATATCAGCATTCTCACAAGAACAGAACATTCAGGCTGTACTTATTAAGCCACAGACACATGTATACCTACCCTGCATTGTTACTGACTGCTGTAATACCCTTTACTCCAGTCTTCAGTAAACCCCCAATGAGATTTTCAGGAATCCCACACAGTCCAAAACCTATGCCAAATGAAAGAAAATTGAAAACGAAGCAAGTGTTTGAAAAAACAGCTTAAACTGAAGTGAGAATGTGTGCTGGTGGATTAAAAACTATCTTCTGAACATAAAAAAATCACATTAGCTGATTAAAAAAAAAAAAAAGAATACTTCTGGAAAGAGCTGCACCCCAGTACTGAAATCTCCCAGTCAACTAGATGCTTCCAGTCTGGATGAAAGCAGTTTACCATCAGATGTCTGCTCATTTGCAAGTGGCCTTTGAAGCAGAGCTCCAAGATCGCGTCTCTCCTGATGCAGGTCTTAACTGCTCACTGTGCCTTTACACTCATTAGCCCTCCTATTTCTGCGCAACTAACCTTCAAATCCTCACTGCACAGAACAGTTTCAAACAGAAGGAGCAAAGATTTCTCCCATGCAGTGTAACCTATAATTAGGTGATAAAAATCTGGGAACCTTAACTAAGTTCCTGTAAACTGGAAGCAAGATAATCCAGATCTCCACCCAGGCTGAGGTACCTTATACCCCGACTCATTATGCAAAAACCTCATACACCTAAAATGAAAGACAATGGTACATTTGGTATGTCCTAGGCCAGGCTCTGATGCTATGATTATTAGCATTTTGTTTGCAACTGGATCTCAGATTTTCATTTATTCCCATAAACAGCAACAAAAAAAAGCCCCAAATCCTCTTCCTATTTGTAATTCTGCATTACTACAATGATGTTTCCCATGTTTTAAACATTATGTTCATTACTCTTCCCCAGTACTAAAAATCAGTTACATCAAGCTAAATAAAGAGATAGTCTTTGGGTAGCTTAAACAAGAAATTGTGAAAATTCAAAAGCTCTAGTCACATTGAAAGCTGATGTGACACAATTCCTTAACTCTTCTGGAAAAATCACACATTCAGAATAATGTAGATAAGTAGTGCTTTCACTTCCCACAGCCATAAACAGCTTAGGTGATTTGTTCAAGGTCACAGAGAGCCAGTGAAAAGGCAGGTACAGATAGAGAACACTACCATAATCATAGCCTAATCAAAATTCATTTCTTCTGTTTGAAATAATAATGCTAATCCAAAAGACTGAGTTTACTTTCAGTGTTCAAACTGACCCAATTAAAGTCTAATGCTTTATTACCGACAAAAAAAATTTAAGGTTTTTCTTTTCCCTCACCTAAGAAATGGGGATATGCTTACTGATAAGGTCTGCCCCTCGATTAGCAGAGTTGAAAATTATTTGTTTAAAGTACCCAAACAAGTATACACATTATCAAATTAGTTAACATTAGAAGAATCAAAACAAATGTATCTCATCTATAGAATAAGAGCTTGTGCTCATAAAGAATTGAAGTATTTACCACCAACAAGTATAGTTGCCCCATTGGGTATATCTTTTACAGCTTCAACAGGATCAGTATAAAATTTGGTGTTGCGATGACAGCTGGTAGAAAAATAGCATCCAAAAGCCTGGAACAATAGTAAAAGAAGTGAATGAATAAAAAGAAATACATACCAGTTCTGTAATTATAACCATGCCCCTGGCTAACTAATCCTGCATCAAGTGGACAATATTCAAAGAGATTTAAAATTCTGGAATTTTATCCACAACTGCTGAAAAAGTTTTACTTACTGTAAGCACATTCACAAATTACAGAATCACAGGGGTTGAAAGCGACCTCAAGAGGTTATTGAGTCCAACTCCTGGCTAAACCAGGCTCCTTACAATAGGTCACACAGGTAGGCATCCAAATGGGTCTTGAAAATTACCATAAAAGAAGACTCCACGACCTCCCTGGCAACCCATTCCAGTGTTTCGTTGCCCTTACCATAAAGACATTCTTCAGCACGTCAGTATGGAACTTCCAGTGGAGAAGTTTTAGGCTATTACTCCGTGTTCCATCTTTATGCTCCTACACATGAGTTACAGCCACCAAAAGACTGCTCTCATTCATATATTACTACTGTAGATTCAAAGGTACACAACTCACTGAGTATAGGAGACACACAAGTAGAGAGCCAACATCAGTACAAATTCAGAACAGAGAGGCCAAAGAACAACTACAGAGCAGAACAGCACTGTAGTAACCAGATGTCCTTTGATGACATGATCCTTCCCCAGCCTCCTAATGCAGTCTCAAGTTGTCTTAGTGATAGAGAACAACCTAGAATCATGGAGACTGATACAAATACATGAAAAAGGGAGGGTACATGTGAAATGTGTACTTTGTGGCACAGCTGCTATACCAAAATCATCACAATTTCTCTATTGTATTCTTAGATTGCAGTGATCCTAAATCCTTTCGTTCTCTTTTCTTTTTTTTTTTCTTTTATTATTTTCCACTATTATCATCATGGATAAATACTGCACAGAGCCAGTGCTTCAGTTGCAATTGATTAAGTCACCACAATCTCAAAAAATTGAGAGTATATGGAAATTAGTATACTAGCTATTGGTGTTTCCTCTCCTACTTTTACAGTGTAAGTGGGAAAACTTAGAGAAAGAAGAATGAGCAAGTAAATAACAAACAAGTTAATCTACACACAATTTAAAACACAATTTAAGGCATAATTCTTCTCTACAGAGTTGTCTTAAGATTCATTTACAACCAGGGTAGTAATTTTTGGCTCAGTTTCAAGATTACACAAACTGCTTCCCTCATAAAATTAAGGCTAGAAGGGTTTAGACTGCATATTAAGAAAAGCCTTCTGAACGAATGCTTATTTCCTTCCCATTGGGAACATTAATAGTCACCCACTTTGATGAACTCAGAAAAATATTTCTAAGTGGGAACTGTAGTACTGAGAAAGAGACTATTCTCTGCTGTACCACAGCTATTTCTTTCAGAAATATTTTTTCAGAACTGCAGTCAGACTGCAAAGCACACACCTCCTGGCCCCATTTGGCAAGAGCATGACAAAAGAAGCAGGGCTAGCAGCACCAGGTATTTCAGTACAACAAGTCTGCAGGCAGGCACAGAATGGCAGATGAACAGAGCAAGTGGGCTGAAGGGAGGCTGGGTACTGCTGCATAACCATGCTCAACTCATATGGATAAGAACGTTCTTAAGCAACCACGTGGTAAATGTTCATAACAGCAGAGAACAAAGGAACAGCACATGTATCCAGCATGCTAACAGGCTGTGGGTCTCCAGTGAGAATTCCCACGCTACTACACTAAGTATGTTTTTCTCAGCCCCTTCCTCATTCTCTGTACCATTGGCAACAGTCTGTGACTGCACTGGAGGAAGAAGCTGAAGCCTCTGTACAGGGCTGCAACTCTGGCAGCCCAGGTTCCCAAGATGCATAGTAGAGTTCTGGTTTAACTCAGCAGGCAGGGCACTATCCTTTGCAGTGGGATGGTGGAGAGATGGTGGTAAGCAAAGTAAAACCAGTGGGTTGAGACAGATAGTTTAATAGATCAGGAAGTAGGGGAGGGAGGAATAATAAAAAAGAATACCTAAGGTGAGTGATGCACAACACAGGTGTTCACCAATGCTTAGCCAGTCTCTGAGCATCAGAAGCTCCCAGCCAACCCCCCAGCTCTATTGTTCAGCATAACACCACACAAAGTGGCACATCACTTCTGCCAGTTTGGGTCAGCTGTCCTGGTTCTGTCCCCTCCCAGCCCCTGGCTGACAGGGCAGCATGATAAGCTGAAACATCTTTGGCTCTGTAAAAGCACCACTCAAAAAGTACTAACACATAGCGTGAGAATACAGTTGATCACACCCCAAAGTCCAACACAGCCATGTCAGCCAGACACTATGGAAAACTCTACCCAAGCCAAAATGAGGACAACTGGGAATAGAGGAGTCAACCAGAATGGTCAACTGGACTGGAAAGAAGCTTTGCAGAAAACAGCAAGACAGGCAGAAAGAAAAAGGCAAAATTCACAGAAAAGCAGAAGTATAATTTAGCATAATGAAGACTAAAATGATGATCATTTGCTTATGAAGACATGATGTGAGGCAACTACGAGCACTCGAAAGCAAACAAATTTGTTTTTCCGTTCAGTTTTTCAACTGAAGCACTAAGAAAAGCCATGAGTACAGCCTCCTGGGGAAGAAATTAATTAGCTCTGGCTCCACATAGGCTGGAAAGCACCAGAGCGGCGAGGTTTGGCGCAACCTTCTTCGCGGACAGCGGGGCGAGCCGCTAGGCAGCGCAGGGCCGCGGTCCGACACCTGCGCCTGGCAGCGCGTGCGGAGTGCCGCCCGGGCAGGGAGCGCCGGTACGCAAAGCCTCGTCCTGCGGCCGGATAGCAAGAGAACCGAACCCGCAGCCCGGCCCACGGTCACCGCCCCGCATCTCGCTACCAGTGCTGCTGCCCGTCCGGCTCCCTAGGGCCGGAAGCGTCCTATTAATGGCGAAAATATATATAATTAAAAACCAGTGAAAAGCATCCCTTCGCTAACGCGCACGGGCGAGACCGCCCCTGGAGGCGTTGGCGGCAGGGCGGTCCCCGGCCTCTCGCCTCGCCGCGGGGATCCCGCCAAGGTCACGGCAGCCCCGCCGCGGGACGAGACCGCTTCGTCGCGCTTTACCTCGGCGCCCCGTGCCCGCGCGGCGGGAAGGAGGATGCGGCGGCCGAGAGGCGACAGCAGGAATTTGTACGCCGCCATCTTCGGATGCGCGACTCCCAGAGAAGGAACGGAGGGGCTGCGGGCAGAGGCGAGCAGGAGGTGGCGGCCGTCCAGCGGCAGGCGGAAGATCCAAGCACGCTGAGGACTGCGGCTCGGGGTCACGTGTGCCGAAGGAGGGCGAGGGGCTCGGCACCGACGCCCACTGACGTCGGCTGCGCCCGAGGCGGGGCTGGCGGAGGGGCGGTGGCGCGGCGGGGGGCCGAGGCCTGCGGGAGCCGGCGGCGGGCGACCGGACGCGGCGAGCGATCCTATCGGCGGCGAGTGCCCGCTCGGGCGGCCGGGGCAGCCCCCGGAATTGGGGCGTCCCCTAGGGCTTGGCCCTCGGCGGCAGCGAGCAGCGTCACGGCCCTGCCCAGTGTCCCCGAGCCCGCGCCCCGCACGCAGAAGAAAGAACACGGCTAGCAGTTCGGCTCTTAAAAACGCTCTGACTGATGGCAAACGTGCATCGACCGACGTGGAGTACTAATTAACGTTACAGATCATCAGTGGTGATGTGTGTGTTCTCTGCTTTGCTGGTGGCGCCCTACTGAACAGCAAGACAACTCGCTCCGACAAATGTATCCTTGTTAAGTTTTCTTTCAGGATTTCAGATGTGTGCTAAGTTTATTCGCAGATCCGTCTTTCTTGCACATCCAGAGAAGATCTAACCGCCTAACATTCTGTCCTGTCAACTCCTGATCAACAATTGAAACCACGAGCATTAAACTTAGAGATGTGGGCTTTCAATGGTTAAGTTCCAGACTCAGAGCCCTCAAGGTTAGCCAGTCCCAGGCAGCACGTGGGCTCTCCCAGGCAGCTAGATGGTGCCTTTGGGTGGAAAATGTTACTGGAATAGATGTATACTTGTTTAAGCAGTCACATGATGTGAACGTTTTAGTGCCAGCACTCCTGTATCTGCTGGCAGGAAAATTCAAGGCATGCCTTCACCATTATTTACACCTTCTATAAATAGCCCTAAGTGAACAGTTCATATAATAAGCTGTCAAATGGAACAAAGATTCACAGGAAAATGCAAGAAGCACTATAAATGCAGGAAAAGAGAAAACCCCCCAGAGTAGACATTGCATTAAGTTACATTCCCTGCATTGCTGTTCTCATCTGCAGCACAACTAACCAGCCTTGCTGTATTCAGCTTTTGTCAGGTTAATTTACAACAAAGAAGCCGAGCTCCTGAGAATGCTTCTGGTCTCCCTCAGAATTGTTTGTGCACATCCATCTCATTTGGTCAGTCTGGTCCCTCCTTGCAGCAATGCCAATACAGCTACAATTCAGCTAACACACGAACCTCACAGGCAGCAGTGAAGTATCCCTGTTTGGCTCTATGTCAGTAATGTTGGCAAACAGGCAAACTGTTTTATTTGTCTGTACATAAGGAAAAACCAGAACTGAGATGAACAACTTCATTTCTAAACAAATTTTGTAACATTTACTTATAGCTGACCTAGATAATAAGAAAAAATTGCAAGATCCTGTGCAGTACTAAGATTCTCTCAGAGCATTTACAGGACATATATTTACCTAGAGGAAGACAGAAGGGCTACCACTTGCATGAATGACTGAACACCTCAGTTAACCACGTGAACATAAATGTTCAAGTTATTCCCAAAGTTCAAGTGAAAGGAAGTTACTACAAAGAAAAAACGTTCTTAGCAAAGAAAAATGGGTATTTTCAGATTTAGTGAAAACTAACATTAAAAATCAGCATGGAGTTGGCAAATGAAAGTTCATACATAATGTAAATACCAAGGGCAAAATTCAACTGGAAAACAAAAAAGCCACATTCTAGTGATTTACAAAAATTAAAGCAAGTGTCAGAATCACAGCATCAAGATTTCTGAAGAAAAAATTATTGATCAGTTTGAGGAGTCCTGGCAACTGACTTTGGTAACAATTTCTCTTGAGCCTAGGATATAAAAATGGACATTAGAGTATGAAGGGATCCTGAAGCTACATAATGAAAAAGAATCAACAGCTGTTTCGCAAGAGCAGTAATTTATCCCTGAATAACTTCTACAGCAGCCCATGGAAAGCTAATAAATATTTTTATTAAATTGAGAAACTTAGTAGAACCCCACCTAAATGGGAAAACAAACAAACAAACAAAAAAAACCCCATGATCTGTTGGCTTTGTTTGTTTCATACTACTCCATTTACTCCATTTTCTATTATAACACTCATAGTTTAGGCAAGATGCCATACTTTCTGATACAGAACAGTAGAGTGTCTACATCATGCATCATGTCATAGGATCACAGAATATCTCAATTTGGAAGGGACTCACAAAGATCGAGTCCATCTCCCAACCCCACACAAGACCATCCAAAATCCAAACCCTATGACTAGCAGCACTATCCAAATGCTCCTTGAACTACAGCAGCCTGGGGCCATGAGCACTGCCTAGGGGAGTCTGTTCCAGTGGCCAAACACACTGTGGCGAAGAATATTTTCTCAATCCCCGACCGGACCCTCCTCTGACACAGCTCCATGCTACAATGTTGGGTAGTCTTAAAAACAGAAAACTTCAAACTTTCTGACTACTGTAGATACTAGACTCCATTCAAAACCAGGGTATTTATAAAGTTATACAATAGTTCGATTAGGAAATTTTTAATTTAAAAAAAAAGATCACAAAAGTAATTTATTCAACATGATCCTTGGCACCTCTATTCATGTTATAATAACACATATTTAGTAACTGTTATCCATACTGTCTGAATTAGTTAAGTGTAATAACCTTCAGCTGTGACAGATAGCATACCTACTAGCTCTGGAAAAGAGAAAAGTGATTTATCTTTCCTTTACTGGAGGAATGAGAAGGAAGAAAAAAAAAAAGCCCATTCAGCAGATATTTGCAGACATCATCTGTGGAGGTGATGTACGTTAGTAAATTGGAAGCTGGTTCAAATTCTAATTCAGTAAATGTTACTAATCTCTTACTTTTTGTCAGGATTTCTTTTGCAAGAATGAGGTTATTTTACAATCTACCCTTGTTGAAGATTAAAGATAAAAATAACACAAGGGGCTGCAGAAACAAACTGGAAACAGGAATCCTGAGCATCTGTCACACTGCATGTCAGTTCATGTTGGTTAGCACTGCTGTAACAGGCTTTTCTAGATTCTGCAATGTAACATTACACGGGTATGTTCAAACAAACCTCATCAGCAAACACAATTACTTTAAAGCAGGCTCCGGGCAGTCTTTAAAAAACTACTAGTGAAGAAATCTTTGTCCTTGTATTTGAAATGTAACTGACAGAAAGAAATATAAAACATTACTGTGGTAACAAAGAGCCACTTCTGCAGAAATTGCATGCAGTAAACAAATCATACATCCCATAACTCACTGTAGCTAGTGCTGCACAATGAGACTATAAGACAGATATTGGAGCTGGAAATGAAGAAAAGCATGAGCCTTGTCTACCAGTTTCAAGGAGGAAATGAGTTACAGGTGAAACTTGGACTTTGCCATCCATTTCATGGGTGTGGTGCTTAGTTCTTGGTGACAAGAGTCTGGCATGCAGATCCACACATGCAATACAAACCCATGTATTTGATCATCCAGTTTGTAGGGAGACAGTTCCCTGCACTGGGAAAATTGGGTGCCAATCAATTCTCATCTGAATTGCTTTGCTCAATTCAGCTGCTGGAGAAAAAACTGTCTTGAGTTCAGAACTTCCTTCTGCAGTGGCCAGTCCATCAATACTGGGTCAGTATTCTCAACTGGAAGCAGGATCTGAAGCCTACATGTACATTAGGAGAACGCAACAGTCATTTTGTTTCACGTTTCATTTTTCAGTTTCAATCAAATGAGCAGAAGAATTACTTACGCAGCTAAGATTTCACAGAATCACAGAATCACAGAATTGTAGGGGTTGGAAGGGACCTTCAGAGATCATTGAGTCCAACCCCCCTGCCAAAGCAGGTTCCCTATAGATTCCCTATAGATTCCCTATCCCATAAGATACAGGACAAAATCTGATTTTTTTATTATATTCGTTACAAGGTGATTTAAAAAGAAATATTAATGTATCCAATCTTTAGAAGTACTGGTTAGTCTCAGAATTTGAAGATTTCCTTTAGCTCTCTTGATTTTGGTAAAACACAACATTTTTATCTGGCTCTACAAATGTGCACATTTGTGCTAGATGGCTGTTAAGCCTACATCGCAACTGAGTTCCCTGCATTAATGAACATACATCTTTTTATTGTGAAGCTCTTGGACCTTTTGTTCACAATTTCACCAGCTCCAAACAGCTCTTTAGAGATACAGAATTTTTATTTTTTTTTCCAGGGGCCAGTTTGAAAACATATTCTAACAGTTCACAGGAAGTCACCACTCTGTTTTGGGAGCTTTGTGCAGCTTTAGCAAATGCAGTCATTTACGATCATCAGTACCATGAAACATGCCCAGTTAAATCCCAGAATAGATTGAGCACTGTACAGATGCCCTGTTACATCCCACTGAACTCTCAAACAGGGCACACAGTTTGACATTTACATTCCTCCAGATACCACGGACATCCTCACTTAAAACTAGCAGGCCTCAATTAGGAGCTACATCTGCAGCAAATTTAGTACAGAGATATTTAAGTAACCACAGTGACCTCATGGACTGCACTAAAACTAATTACTAATGGTGAAAGTGTCTCAGATTCTCATATTCCCAAATTCCCAGATTCCCTAAACTGCCAACTAATTTGCTCAACTCTCAGCTATTATACTGCCACACAGATTAATACAAAATCCCCTTAGTAGAATTAATTTGCTTTGATCCAAGGAAATTAAGAACAAAAAACTCTGTATGATGTAAAAAAAACCTTACTACAAGTTAGGTGAAAGTTCTCTAAGGTAAGTTACACATTACAGTCTCAAGAACTTACTGTTTCAAACCGGGGGAAAATTGTCTAGGTTGCCATGCAGATTATAGCCACCCATATCAGGTTGGTACTCAGTCAGCACACACACACACACAAAAAAAAAAAAAGGCAGTATTCAGCCAGATAAACAATCCAACTTCATGCATCAAACCATTTTGCAACTCTGAAATTAATGCAATTAAGTTCTAGGAACGTGCAGGTAAGGTC